GTACAACAAATTCTAATAGCCAAAAAGCGGTAACTGGAAACGTTTATTTTTGGCCAGTTCCCAACTCCAGGGCTCTTCCCCACCGTGGGCAGGGACTCCCTGGGAGCCTCTGCAGCCCACTCGATGGGAATCCTTCACTCCTCCCTCTGCCAGTTCACTCGCATCTCCGTGCTGCTCAGATCACCCTGAGTTTTACTCCTAAATCTCCTCTCCGCTGAGCTTCTGCAGAGCAAGGAATTATTGTGCATTTCTGCACTCTTAGCAAAGCAACAGTAGCAGACAATGCTTTTTCCTCCCCCTTGAATGAAGGGCAGGATGAAAGGAGGGGCAGATAGTATGAATCAGCTGGGATGGCAGATTAAGTCTCATCCTCCGGTTGCTTTCAGCAGTGCAGGGTTTTAGGATGTGTTCCAGTGCCATCTAGAGTGGATAAACGAAACAGCAGCCATGCTAATTGCAATACGGCATTTGCACGCACAGTTTGCATGGTGAGCAGCGCTTGGCGATTCCCGCAGAGAAGTCTGGCCTCGAGGAAGGGCCAGTGTGCTTCTGGCAGATCACGTCATTGCGCTGATAACAAAATAATTAAGTATGTTTCTGCCTCAAACACTTTGATGACATGTTTAGCAATAGGAGAGCCACAGGAGGGCTTTTAAGGCCTGATTGACTTTCTGATCTTTAGCGTGTAAATTAATGTAACAGTATTTGTGTTCTGCCATAAGGGATGACTTGGGAGAAACTTAGGTCCTGAAAACAAATTATTTTCTTTCTAATAAAAATCAGGACTCTGCAATTCCATGAAAAATGAACCAAATCTGTTTTCATGCCAAGGAGTAGGTGTGAGGGCGGCACCGGCTGGGGGGGACAGCTCTCTCGGGGAGCCCACGCGTTCCTCCCTCAGGCCCCTGGCCCACCTGTGGGAGAAAGGTGGGGAACACCTCTTGTCACCTGTCGCCTGTCTGTGCAGCGTGGAAATGATGGGATATTTTAGAATCTATGAAACAGCCATTTTACTGAATCACTAAGGAATTCTGAGCACAAAGGCTCGTTTCTTCATCTCTGATAGTTGACTATGTAAAAGCTGGCTGCCACCGTGACGTCCTACTTTGTGATCAACCGAAGGCAAGGCCCCGAGCACCTCCTCTCTGGGCCTCATACTTAGATGCCCTTTTGTGCGTATTTTCGCATCAACATTTCCAGTGGTGGTTAGATGCGTAACTACCGTGAACGTTGCTGAGGGAAATCAGTACGCCCTTGGTTACGTCTTCACGGGTTAATCCGAGCACACCTAGTCCTGGAGCCGCGCGAGCAGGTGAGGGCACGGCAACTTCATGGATCCAGACTGTTCACGTTTGAAAGTATCTGACCAGCATCAGAGGGAACGAAACAAACAAAAATACTGTGCTCCCCAAATCTTCACTGCGCTAATGGTCCAGCTTCATGCTCACGACTTGTGAGGTTATTATCAGCTTTCTCATTTTAGAGCTGTAAGTAGCTGCTTTCAAGGTTACTTCTAAGAGCAGGTCGAGTCACCCTTCCACTACACTCTAATTCTTTCTGGCTGAAAGAAATGTACGTAGAATTACAGTTTTCAAAGATAAAGGCAAGTTTTAGCTCTCTGCCCCCTTGACACATGGGGCAAGCTGAGGACAAGCACAGACTCCGAGGTATACAGATGTGCATTTACACAGCTGTAAATTCTCCTCTCTGCTAGGTGATCTTGGGCAAATTAGTTTACCTCACAGGATCTCAGTTCCATACTAGGAAATACATGAGTAATAACACTAACACAACTAAACGATCATTTAGTGACTGGCACCTACTACATGCCAGATCTCCAGGTACAGTTGGAGGGGTTGTGCACTAGGCAATGTGCACATCTCTAAGGGAGATGCCTAAGTAAAGAGCAGTTATATTTTGCCCCCTGGGCTTTGGCAAGGAATTAGAAAGCACAAGGATATTTTGATGTTTTTTAAATCACAAAAAGTGTTTTATTTAAAAAGTATCAAGTCTTACTTTCTGAAAAGGCAAAAATGTAAAAAAGTAAAACAGGTGAGCACACACCTAGTCCTCCCTGTTCAGGAAGGTCTGAGGCATAGACCAGGGGACGGCTCTTTGAGGGAGATTCCCTGGAAGGGCTGGTGGCCTGGTTGCCCGGCTGCAGAGGTGCAGGGGGAGGGGCATAGAATGTTTGTCGTTTCCATGGGAACAGCCCTGCCAGGCCGCCGTGGTGGGAGGGAGACGCAATGGCTGAGCACTTGGAGCCCGAATGTAAGTGGACGTTGAGCGTCTTACGTTGGCTTTCGATGTTTGCTTGATGTTTGATTACCTAGAAACCAGCTTCCCTGAACCAGTCTGAGAAGTGAGACCGGTTTCTGGTGGCTACGAATCAGCTGCGGGTCTCTGGGGTTAGGATTGGATTTGGGGACGTGCTTCCTCCTCAGAGAACCTAACGATAACGTGCAGAGGGACATTGTAGGGTGGGTGCGTGCAAGTGTGCACAGCGTGTAGGACGTGCGTGTGTGAGTGTGTGTGTACACACGAGCGTGAGCACCCTCTGGGAAGAGGAGGAGGAGGAGTGACGGGGCAGGTTTCTGGCTCCTAGTTCAGAGCGTTCTTTTTGAAAAGCTGAACTTCAGGACATTTTCTGTGGCCCGCTGCCGTTGGGCAATGCTCGCTAAGGACCACACTACACGGAGTGTCCATGTCGCCTCTTACTTTGTTTAGTCTCCATGGCTCCGAGGGCGGGGTTGTTAATGCGGTTTTCCAGACGGGAGTCTGTGGGGACGGGAGCCCAGGTCGTCTAACTCCAAAGCTGTCGCTCTGTTCAGCACACGCCGTGCGTGGAAACGGGTGCAGGTGGAATCTGGGTGGACAGGAGGCTTACTGCACCGCGCTAAACAGTCTGAATTATAAAATACCTAAAAAGAAATGCTATTTTACTGCGTCTAATGCAATGTCTCTGTGCAGGTTGAGTAGGCAGCTGGGGCGCCTGGGCCCAGAGGCGGCTCAGCACCTGACCACACGTCATATAGTCTTAGACCATTCCTGCCTCAGTTTCCTCATCTGCAAAATGAGGATAGTCATAGCACCTATCCCCTGGGCCATTGTGAGGATTAAACGTGCCCCAGTGATAATTTTTAAAAGTCTCCCTGCATTGGGGTGTCTTTTCCTTTAATACACAGATGCTTCTCCACTCACAAAAAACCCATCCGAAGTTAAAAATATGACCAGTCAAAGTGCATTGGATACACCTGAGCCCGCTTCGCCCAGCCTGCCTCGAAGGGCTCAGAGCGCTTGCGTGAGCCCGCGGCGCGGAAAGTCGCTTCACACGGGGTCTTATGATGGAGCAGGGGCCGTCTCGCGTAGCTCACCGGGCGCCGCGCTGGAGGCGGAGACCAGGGGGCTGTGCGGGCCGGACGGGCAGCTTCTGCTGAGCACCCACCGCTCTGGCACCGCCGCACCGGTGAAGACCCTCGGCCGGTCCACACTCCACGGGGGCAACGCGGCGTCCATTAGGCCTGGGGTCGGAGCGGTGGTGTGGCCGGGTGGTCGCTCCCGCTGCCGAAGCCTCCCCCGCCCACCCCATTCTTAGGGGAAGCAGAGGCAGCGATGTCATTATTTTTAGACATAGATTGGGCACAGAAGCGGGTTTGCCTGTGGCGTGGGGCCCAGAAGGTCCTCCTCCGGCCTCCTGCGCTCAGGGCTGCAGAGCGAGGGCCCAGTCCCAGGGTTGGGGCAGAAAGGCGGGTTCGGAAGCCAGTTCTGCCACTTGTCAGCTGTCTGGACCTGACTCGGTCACATAACGTCTCTCGGCTTCCCTGTCTGTCACTGGGGCTGGGGCTCGTTACAGGTGGGATGGCCAAGGGGAGTGCATGGGGGAGACATGCGGGACACAGGAAACCCTGCGGGCCTGGCGGCCGCTCTGCAACCAGTGCTCGGCCAGGCCGTAGCACGCTGGGCCTCGGCCTTGCGGGGCGGAGGGAGGCCTGCTTGCTTTTCCTCCAGCTCTCTGCGAAGGCAGCGCCACGGCTGGCTCCCCCCGGGCCCCCCAGTGCACGGCAATCCAGAGGACACCGCTTGCTCGGGGTGGGAGACGGCACACGAGCGGGCGCGTCTGGGCTGCCTCGTGCTCTCTCGCAAGTATTTAGTAAGGTGTGCCCGGTACTGTAGGCCTTTAACGAAAATGGGTATAGTTTATGGAGTCTATGCCATGCCATGTGCCTCTTTGTCAAAAGTGATTCTGTTTGGGTGCCCATCAACCATCTGGAGATGATTATTCTGATTTTGCATAGGAAGCAACTAAGGTTCAGAGAGATTATGTAGTATTTTTGCCACCACACAGTTTGGAAGTTGACTCAAAAGGCCAAGTACCCCTGATATTTTATGTCCCCGGCCATGTGCTGGAACAGAGCTGCCCCCGGGGACTCGTGAGAGGCCTGGACCTCGTGCGGAGGGAGTTAGGGTCCCCTCAACCCAGCCACAGGCTTTTCTCTGTGGGGAGGGGGCAGGAAGGGGCGAACGACCCATCAGTTGTCGAGGGGTTTGCTCAGGGACTCCGAGACCTTTCGGTGTTGAGGAGAACACAGGCACACGCACACGTGGAGTACGTTAAGGAAGACATCGTTAAGCATCATGTAGAATTATCATGAAATTTTTAGACTTTTCTTGCAGAAGCTTTGCTAATATTGTAAGAAACATTCTGTCACATTCTAACACTCCATCGTCTCTGCGGTTGGCGCTGGGGGTCCCGGGCTTGCGGACTGGATTGCACGCGCTCTGCGCCTGCGCGGCCCGCACCTGCAGCGGCACCTCGGCCCTGGCACAGGTCTGCCTTCTAAGAGCCACGCCAGGTGCCATTTTTCTTTATCTTTAGACCCCTCTTTGGGCATGGCGTATGCCAGCTCAGCAAATGGACCCAGCTGTTTCATTGCGGGACTGAGAGCCATATTTCATCGTCTTGCTGTCTTTTCTGAACAGTTTACCTCAAGTGGCGACACTGCGAGACCCGGGGCGTGAAGACTCTGTGCAACCTACGGAAGCTGCTGAACAGACTCCAGCAAGACCACAAGGACGATGTCTACCTTTACGCCTCCGGACACCTGAATCCCAACAAGCTGTACAGGCCTCCCGAGACGATCTCGCAGCGCTGGCCCAATGCCAACAGGCCGAAGGGGGACACCGTCTCTGGGGCGAGAAGGCCCCCCGCGAGCCAGGTTGCAAAGATGAAAGAGGCCTTGGTTCATTTCACCATCAACACGGCTCTGGTTCCGAACGACGCCCGGAACACGCGGCTCTTCGGGTACTTGCACCCCCAGGCGGCGATTTCCTGCGCTTTTGAAGAGGATTTCACTCCAAGGAAGGTTCCAAAGGCAGAGAAAGAGGGAATGAGGGAGGGCTCCGCTGGCCAGCGGAAGAGGGAGGAGCTCAGAGTGCCGGACCTGAGGGTGCTGAGGTACAAGGAGGTGGGCTCCAGCCGCCAGTGTGCCCTGTCGCCCCCGGGCAGGGACGAGTACCGCTGCGTCAGCTCCTACTTAGCCGGGGTAACGAAAGCGGACAGGTATAAGAAGTTCTTGAATTTCCAAAAAGAAGTTCTTGCAAAGCAAGACCTCCTGAAGAACGATGTCACCGGGAGCTCGGCAGCCGTGTGCCATGAGAAGAAGCTGCGGCAGGTGAGGAGGGCGGTTCCGCAGAGCTGTCTGTACACCTGCTCTGCCTCCAGGATCCAACCCTCAGGGGCTGGAACTCTTCCTCAGACGCCTCACTTACATTTCCAGGTAGATTGAAAAAAAGCCGCCAGGTGCTAGACATTTGACGAGATCAGTTGATGTAACAGGGTGAAATGAAAAAAGGCTACGTGTGGAAAGTAAGTTGGAGGCAAGTTCATGTTGGAAAGCATTAGAGGCTACATAGCAGAGATAGTGAACAAAATGTTTGCAGGAAAAACAGGAGGGTCTGAGAAAGGGTTTCCTGCCTAACCTTGAGAGAACAGGGGCGTGGAGACACCCGATGAGCTCTGCAATGCAGGTGCGGCCTGCCTGGGGACCAGGTGTAGCAGGGGCCGGGGGCTGGTGTGATGGGAAGAGCCACCGTGGGCTGCGGGGGCTGTGAACAGAACATACTCGCTGAGACATTACCTTAGATGGGGCGGAGTGCAGGGAAGAGAAGAAAATAGCTGTCTACCTGTGAAATAACCAGACCTGGAGATTTGGGGCTAAGGAGACTGAAGGAAGAGAGAGAGGGCCTTGGGGGTATCGGGGGGCAGAGTGAACCCCTGAGTACAGGATGGAGGGAGTGAATAAAGAATGAAAAGACAAAAAAATCAAATCTTGTGTGACCAGGTAATGAAAGACTGAGAAACTAGTGGGAGTGGATCAGAGTCACTTTGATTTGCCACCTGCTGTGCTGGGACGAGGCGCCCGAGTGCTGGCAGCTCTGTCCTTCCCCTGAGCAACGCTGTTCTGAAAGGAGAATGAAGACATCCTGGAATGGGCTGACTCTGTGTTTCCTCCAGGAACTCCAGAAAATATGCACGTGTGACCCTCAAGGGTTCAACAGACTGCAGATCTTTGGCGACGTCTTTGAAGATATTTGCAACAGTTCTTTGATATTTGGTGAAATCTTGAAAGAAATTAAGGTAAGAAACATACCTTTTCTGCATAACAGTTGAGAACTAGGCATGATGCTCTGCATACATGGATGATCTCAAGCCTTTCCGACATTCTGCCGAATGTCACGGCCCCCCTTCTGCAGATGAGGGTCACCGCTCACAGAGACCGAAGTCATCTGCCTGCAGTCACATAAATCATAAAAGGGCAATGTGGAGTAAACACCCAGTTAGCTCCCTCCTAAGCCCCATAGCTTCCCATTAAAGCTTCCTAATTATATATAACCTTCTAGAAATTGAACATATGTGACATGTAAACTTTTATAATTATATTTATGCAGTATTACATGAATCTTTATGGAATTATAGGTTTGTTGTAATTTCATGATGGAAGTAACCTTCATATGGAATCTGAGTTGAAATTAGGTTGCTTAAAGATTATGCTGTTCTCTAATTTGCTAATGACAAGGAATATTTAACGATGAGATGAGGTGGCCTGTTGCCCAGAGATGCCCTGACCACTGGAAAGCTCATCTCTGGCAGGTCAGCAGAGCCCAAATCCACGGAACTTCTGCATGGGAGTAGATGATTTGCTATCTGTGTGTCAAGATACTTCATGATGGGATTCAGAGGTGATCAATAGTTAATGCTCAAATATGCTTCAAAGATGGTGCAATTTTTATAAATGTTAGTGTGTATACACACTATAACTATAAGAAGGTTTCTTTAAATCTAAACTGCACCATTCTTAGCTTTCATATTATTTATATTCACAAAAATACTTGCAGTGCAATCTCCTGATGCATTTCCAATGGATTTTTGTTTTTCGTGTTTTATGCAGGATGAATATGAACTCTACATGGCAATCCTGCTGGACTCCCGTCCCACGGCACAGTATAAGGTAGCAGTCAGTCATGAAGAGCTTAAGTAGGGTCTTTTTTTACCCATGGCTTCATATTTATTTCATGAGGAGAGGGAAACATTCAGAATCCACGAAGCCTTATTTGTGCCTTCATAATTTAGAACAGTCAATACTTTCTATAAGGGATGGGCTTTGCACTACAGTAGGACATTATTGATCAATTTATATTCCCAAACCACTAATGTAACTATATCTATATCTATATATAATGTAATGCTCTCTATATAATGTAACTATATATATACACATACTATATATATATATATAGTTACAAACTATATATATAGTTTGGGAACATGAATAGTGCTATGTCAGTAATTACCAAAAACCACTGTCCAGTCATCACCTGCGGGAAGCATGGTGAGTGCATGGTGACAGCCAGCGTGCAGCAAGCTGCAGCATAAACCCATGGTCTCTTCATTTCACTGGGGACCACTTTCCAGGTGTTCCCTCCAGGGTTATGTTAAACATGCAATTATTCTAGTAAGAAAATATGCTACAGGAATAACTTTTTATCACTTACAAAAACCAGGAGAATCTAACACTGTAGCTAAGATGAATTTGGCATTTTAAATTTAATAAAGTTTAACAATTTTATAATATTTCACAAATTAGAAATAGTTTCTTACTTCATATATGAAAAAATCGCAGCATTGTTGGGAGGTCAGCCATAGCTTACTTCCTAATCCAGCATCATACGTGGGCGCCATCTTCTTAGTTCTGAGCCTTTTCGTGGTGCAGAAGGACAAGCTCTGTGTTTGCAGGGGTAAGCAGCGGCTCCAGTGGGGAGCTACCCTGTTCCTGTTCCTCACTTTTGAGCTGAGTCCAAAAGGAACATACATACCCATGTCTCACTCAAACGCCAGAACGAAAACGTCCCCAGGCTTTCTGTTTCTGAACGCCGGGCAGGCCCTCACCCGGGGGCAGGGATCTTTGTGTCCCTGCCTTTGAGCGCAGCTTTCCTTTACAGCCATGGATCCTAGTTGTATTAATATCATCTCTCACTAATTAGAAGGAACAATTGTGGTGCTTCTACTAATGCACCTGAAGCACTTTCTTCAGCATGTCTTTTCCCCCACACAAGCCAACAGTAAAACTCTCCCACCATGTTTTTTTAATTTCTTAGAAAAATAAAATCTTAAAATATTGAAAAATGTATTTTACCCAGAACTTCACTTGATTAGCCATTCCTCCCCCAATATCCTTCCCTCCCTGGAATCCTCCCAATTTACCTATTCTAACTAGAATTTATGTTTTAACGCGGGGCAGATTGAACACATATTAGTAACGAAGGGGAAAGTTCTCACCCGCTCTGAGTGTCTGTCCCTCTTCATGTGCCTGGCCCTGTCTAGACTCTTCTGGCTCAAGCCAAGGGGCTGGAGAAGCGGCCCGTGAAGACGGCTGATGTGGAACGAGCCGGGGAGGAGCTGAGGGTGCTCACGACAGCCATCAAAGCTGCCCTGGAGCGGAATGACAAGTGAGGCCGTGGCGAGCAGACTCGATCTATGTTTGAGTTATACTTTAGGGCATCTTAAAGCGATGTGACGAGCATGGAGTTACATTGTCTTCTGCGTCGTTGGGCGTGGCACGCTACCTTTCCCAGTATCGTGCCTGGCATCTGGCCGCTTCTGCAGACCCTGACTTACGCGGCTAGCGTAGTCTACAATACACATACAACTAAAGTCCCTGAAGAAGAAAAACAAAGCAATAGAACAAAACCACAGGTGATATTTAAAACTATAACACATGGAAAATTTCTGGAAGCTAAACCTTCTGAATACACATATTGAAAAAGCTGTTATCATTATTAATCCATTGACTCCCAGTTTCTAGACATCGAGGCCATAACACCACTCTTGTTCTGTTTTCATCTCTGGTAAAATGAGCTAAAATAATGTGTGTAAATCTTAAACTATTAGGTCCTTTGTAGACATGTGGCATTGAGTTGTTTGTGGTGCTGATGTTTTTTAGCCAAAGAACAGTGTTTTCTTCAGTGTATCTATACATAAATATATATATTTATATTTATATATATACTGAATATGTATAGTATATAATAATATATATAATATATAATATATAAATGAAACATGTATATTATATATATTACCTACTTCACTCCTTTTTTTTCTCCTCTTTAAGTCTGTTAGGAATAAGGAAGTTGATTTAGTTGACTTTGAACCAAGAAGAGGATATTGAGGTTTTTTTTCCTTCTTCTTAAATTTCTTGTATTCTCTTTTTAGTTCAAACGTATTGGCATTTGTAAATCGTGTCTGTGGGATGAAGTCATAACGTGCAGGGAAAAACGCAAAGTGTATTTCAACATCGGTGAGACCTTCCCATGGCCCTCGATGTGTTGTTTGCCTTTGAGTGTACGACGCTCGAGTTTTTTTTTTTTTGCCTTTTTTCTTCTTAGCAGTTGAAGTCACAAAATAATATCAATAAACACTATAGGAAATGATTTATTTTAAATTATCCAACTCTTCTAACTAATGGTTTATGCAACCTTGGTAAGCAAAATTATTTTATTTGTCTAACTGGACTGACCAAGGCTGTCATTTTATAAGCATCTTCAGATTACATTTTTGCGTTAGAAAGTAAGAAGATCGGGTTTCATTTCTGAATTAAAAGAAAGACTGTGCTGTACAACAGACAAAAGGAAAAAGCTACCAGTAGGGTTCTAATACTTCACTGTTTTTGATGATCAAATTGCAGACTCAGAGAGGAGCTGGAGGCGGAGCGCGCGCTGCTGCAGGCTGCTAAGGAAAAATCAGGCAAGTGATCGTAGGATGTTTTTCCAGATGTTTTTTTGGCTCATGTTGTGCTGTGGCCCTTGCATGAAGAATCCTCAAACCTGCCCCTGCTCTCCACGGCCTCCTGCCATTGGGTATTTGAAAGCGTTTTTCAGAGAGGTTATTAAATTTTATTCTTTTATTTTTTCCCATCAACTTCTTTAGAAATAAATGATTTTCATTTAATCCAAAGTGGTTTAAACAAAATACTTTAAAGACACAAGGACACAGTTGATCTCATCAGAGCTTCCCCCAGGCTGAAGCATCCAACCCAGTTTCTGTTGTTTTGGGTACTCCTGGGTGTTCAGTTTCCCCATATTCAGATACGACGTGTGCACTGTTTCATTATTCTCTTATGATCTTTGTGTTTCTTAGTGGAACATTGAATTAATTGAGGACCTTATGTAGGGAGAATTGTGTGAAGTTTTGACCAAGGCATTCGGAATAGATGCTAAGAAAATTGACCCAAGGATACAAAGATGGGAAATAGATCTCACGAGGAAACATTGGAGGACTGAAAGTTTACCCTAGGGAAAATGTCTCAGAACGGGTTTCAGAGGGGCATGGTGGGCCTTCGCTGGGCACATGCACGTGGGCGAAGTAGAGCGAGTGGCGCTGCGGCCCCGCTGTTTCCAGGGCTTGGCGAGGAAGGCGGAGTCCATTCTGGTTTTCAGAACCTTTACATTTGTATTCCCGCCTGGAAGAAGTCAGTTTTTGTGGACCTCAAGGAGTCCTTAAGGCTGTCCACGTTGGAGATGCTCTTTGTCATGCAAACACGTTCTCCAGCTCTGCCCACTGCATTCTCACCGCAGCGGCACGCGGTGGCGGGGGCGCTGCTGGGGCTGCACCTGGGCTTCCCCGCAGCCGAGGGGCTGGGGGTGGGCCTGGGGGTCTCCGAGGTCAGCTAGACGCCCGCACCGCCGCCGGCGCTTGTGCGCTCTGAGCCGCCTGTGTCCGCTGCCGGCGTCGGGTCGGGCGACGGCGGCGACTCCCTCTGAGAGCTGTCGCGGGCACGGAGCCCGGCATGCTGTAGTCACTCTGCCTCCTTGTTCTTCCTCCTTTTGCTATTACCTGTGAGGGAGAATACACATTTTGTGGGAAATTAATTGCATTTTAGGAATATTTATGCATTAATGGATATTAAAATTATTTTAAATTTACACAATGTGGGATGTGATTCATTCATCAAAATGAGTCCAACCAAGCATCTTGCCCACTCGTCTTGACTGGTTCCCAACTGTTCAGGCAAATGCCATTTTTCTCTCCAAGTTTGTTAAACACTTGCTCTTACTGGAATTACGTTTTTTCTCAGCATCTTTTGGGATACATTCACAATCCGCTTTAAGTTCTCAGTGGAACTGGACCAGAGGTTCTTGCCAGAGTTATTCTCCCCTTTCTGTTTCTTCTTTCCTTCCAGTGAGCCGCGCGTGTGCTGCTTTCTCTGCCCGACGTCTCTGCCGGGGTTTCTTGCTGCCAGTCCTCGGTCCCAGGCTGACTCTCTGCTTGCCCCTGTACCCCTGCCTGGGTCTCAGAGGGGGGCTGGTCCCCTCCTTCCTGCGCTACGGAGGTCACCCCTTGTGGGGTCCCTGCCACGCCATCGTGGAGGGGGACCCCAACCCCATGGTTTTCAGTTTCCCGGCTGTCCCTTAAAATAAGCCCATGATTTAAAAAAATACTTGAACGATTTATGGCTGGACACGAATAGGAAAAAAAGGGCAAAGATTAATAAAAGTAATAAACAAGATGCAGTTACCAACTTTCCAGAACTCAAGCCGACCTTTCTTCCTATTTGATTCCCGCTGCTGGTTCCCAGCTCTCAGTGCGGTGGAAGAAACTGCTCTTCCTCCTGCTCTATTCTTTTCCTAAAGGTTCTCACCCCGGGGCCCTCTCCTCCCGCCGTCCGCATTTGCTACGCAACGCCCCCAGTTCCATAGCTCGGTCTTCCTCTTCGGGTAGGAAGGTGAGGGGAGGCCGCTCGCCTGGCCGGACGCCCTTTGGGCTCCTGTGCCCCGAGCTGACTGCTGTAGGCTGACGCCCTCCGCTCAGGCGAAGGGGGTCGAAGAGTCTACTTTGCGGTGTTGCTCAGAGTTCGTGTAGAAGCTTAACGATGACCGTGTTTGCCCCTCCCGCGAGTTGATCTTGTGTCTGCCTAGCTAACTCCCCACATTTCGAAACTCAGCTTCAAAGGTTTCCTTTCTTCCAAATTTGGCAAAGTCGAATGTTGGCAATGATTTCCATCTTGTTTACTGTCTATGAGTGAGTATTGTCAATCTTTCAAATTTCTTTTTCTCCATCAAAAAAAGTAGTTGTTCTTTCTCAAACATTAAGTCTTACTGCTCTGGTCAGTATCTAACTGTGCTGACTGATGACAAGTGGCCCTCAGCAGCGAGTCTCTTGATGTTCCCATCTCCTTTCTGTACTCCTGAAATGTTGATGTTCTTAGGAGTCCAGTGTGTCTTTGGCACAGTTCACATGTTTTTATTCTAAATCTGTTTTTCCTGCTAAAAACTCTTTTTTGGGCTAAACGTCGGTATGTCCAGGTGCCTACTGGGCACGGCCTCTTGAGTGTCCCATAAGCGCCTCTACTCACATGTCCTAGATTAAACTCACCCTCTGTCTCTCAGTGGCATCTCCCTGGCTGTGTGGATGGACGGCATTGCCAAGCACACGGAGACTCAAGTCCGAAAGCAGGTGCCAGGCATCCTCCACGCTGCTCTGCCGCAACCACTCCCAACACAGCCGGGAATCAGAGGCCAAGTGCGGATTGAAACCACGCTCCTTCCCTGTGTTCTGCATTGATCTCCCCATTTCCTTCCTGGCTACAGCTGAGCTAAAACCTAGAGCTTGCTTTTGGCATCTTCCTCTCCCCTACGTTCCAGATCCAGTTGATTACCAAAGACTTTTTTTTTTCTTGCATTTCCTCAGTAGTTTTTGGATCTCTGTACTTCTCTTCATGCCAGGGGCTCTGTCCTGATCCGATCACCTTGTCGGAATGACAACTTTTTAAAAAGTCTTTCTGATTCTAGTCCTACCTCTTCGGATCCACTTTCAGGTAGGAAGGTGAGGTGGAGGCCACTCACCTGGATGAGTGAGCGTTGTCTGATCATGTTTCTGCCCAGATTAAAAGCCTCCAACAGCTTCGACCGGTTTCTTTACATATTTATGAGGCCTGTCAGATCAGTCCCGTTTCCTTTCTGACATCACTTCATATGTCTTGAATCTGTCCTCTGCTCCCTCCCCACTACCTTCCAGTTGTCTAACTTCCAGTCCTCCTTCCGGTCTCAGTGTAGTCACCCTCCTTTGGCAAAGTCCTGCTCGAGCCTTCCCCACGCTGAGTTAGACGCTCTCACCTGCCGCCACACTGCACCCTCTACTCCCGAAACATTGCCTCCTGTAGCTTCTCGTTGGTCTGCACTGCTGACATGCAAACGCTGGAAAAGGATATGGGCTGTGATTCACCACTGAACCTTCTCACCTAGACCTGGGTCTGCACAAATTATGTGTTCGACAAATACTCATCGATCGATTGTGTGAATGAATTAAAGGATGAATGCTGCCATTCTTGGATCAGATTATCTTTATTGACATGCTTGGAGTTTGAGTTACATTATTCTTTGTAGTTACATATAGTATAAGATATTACTACATAATAGTGTTAATAATATACAATGCTGTTCATAGGAGATATTAAGCATAGTAATATTTTGCTTTAAAAAATATTCCCAGAATCATCTAAGAAAAATATAACTGACGAGGTGCACCTTCCTCTTATTGAGAAGGTTGAAAGGAAGAGGTGTGAAATACTCAGTAAGTGGGATGAAATGCAAGCTCTTGAAAAAGAAATTAAAACAACGTTGGTTCATACGGGAATTTCACGTATCACTGAGGATATGATTAAAAGCATAGAGGTATGCAATTTATTTATTTAATTGTTTACATTGTTCTTTTGCTTGAAGATCTTGGCAAACGCATGAAACAATTTGATTTTGTAGTAGGATAAAAGATATCATAAAACTTGGTCCAAATATATTTTCATTTCAAACTGTAGCAAATAATTATAAAAATTAGGAGATCTATCAAAAACAAAAATGAAGGTGACAAAAAATTCTTTAGAACTCTGTTAATGGTCAAAACCTAATTTTTATTTGTGTAGAACCTTACTTAATCTGACTTAAACTCTAGTTATAGAGTTTATAAGTGATAAATGATTATTTTTTATTCTTGTGTTTATATAGTTACATATATTTTCAGCAGTGTTTATTTAAACCAGAATTATTATGTACATAGAAGAGTAGTGGTGGTCCAAACTTTTTTTGTGTATTTCTCTGTCTCTTACAATAATATGTTCAGATTTCCTTCTGTGTATTTTTTTTAGCATTTCATCTCTTTTCTTTCTTGCTTTTTATGCTAAGTGAATGTCCTCAGAACAAACACTAATTTATAGCTGAATTTTTAAACAGTAAAAGTAATGATTTGTAACTTTAAATATTGTGAGCATGATATAATGCCAAAATCATGTAAACTCGTCTTTCATAATTAAAACCACTTTAAATAGGTTGAATCTAGGGAATAGAAGATTCCCTATGAAGATTCCATATCACTAATTTATATTTAATTACTTATTATTATATTTGTCTCCTTAATTAAAATACTGGAAAGTACAATAGAATTGCATTTGTTATTCTATTATGTAATTGGTTTCTGGTTCTGGATTTGAAATAGGATATTTCCGTTTTTTTTAATTCTTTTTTTTTTATTTCAGCATATTACAGGGGTACAAAAGTTTACTTTACCTATATTGCCTTTGCACCATCCAAGTCAGAGCTACAAGCGTATCTATCCCCCAGACAGTGCACACCCCACACATTAGATGTGAATATACCCATCCCCTCCGCCCCCTCCCACCTGCCCCACACCTGTTGAATGTTACTACTATATGTGCACATACATGTTGATCAATTAATACCAATTTGGTGGTGAGTACATGTGGTGCCTTTTCCCTCATTCTTGTGATGCTTCACTTAGTAGAATGGGCTCCAGCTCTATCCAGGATAATACAAGAGGTGCTAGTTCACCATTATTTTTTGTGGCTGAGTAGAACTCCATGGTATACGTATACCACATTTTATTAATCCACTCATGTATTGATGGGCACTTGGGTTGTTTCCACATCTTTGCTATTGTGAATTGTGCTGCTATAAACATTCTAGTGCAGGTATCTTTTTTATATAATACACTTTGTTCCTTTGGGTAGATGCCCAGTAATGGGATTGCTAGATGAAATGATACTTCTAGTTGTACCTCTTTAAGGTATCTCCATATTGCTTTCCACAGAGGTTGCACTAGTTTGCAGTCCCACCAGCAGTGTATGAGTGTTCCTATCTCTCCCCATCCACACCATTTATTGTTTGGGGGCTTTTTGATAAAAACTATTCTCATTGGAGTTAAATGATATCTCACTGTGGTTTTGATTTGCATTTCCCTGATCATTAAAGATGTTGACCATTTTTTTGATATGTTTGTTGGCCATTAGTTTCTCTTTTTTTGAAAATTTCTGTTCATGTCCTTTACCCAATTTTTAATGGGGTTGTTTGATTTTTTCTTGCTGATTTTCCTGAGTTCTATATAAATTCTAGTTATCAGCCCTTTATCAGATGTATAGCATACAAATATTTTCTCCCATTCTGTAGGTTTTCTGTTTGCTCTTATGATAGTTTTCTTGGCTGTGTAGAAACTTTTTAATTTGATCAAGTCCCATTTATTTATTTTTGTTGTTATCGTGATTGCCTTTGGGGTCTTCTTCATAGAGTCTTTGCCTACGCTGAAGTCTATAAGAGTTTTTTCAATATTTTCTTCTAGAATTTTTATAGTTTAATGCCTTAGGTTTAAGTCTGTCATCCACCATGAGTTGATTTTTGTGAGAGGTGAAAGGTACGGATCCTGCTTCAGTCCTCTATGTGTGGCTGTCCAATTTTCCCAGCACCACTTATTGAATAGGGATTTTTCCCCCAGTGTATGTTTTCATCTGCTTTGACAAAGATCAGATGGCAATATGAGGATGGTTTTGTACCTTGTTTCTCATTTCTGTTCCATTGATCTATGTCTCTGTTCTTGTGCCAGTACCATGCTGTTTGGTTACTATAGCCTTGTAGTATAGCTTGAAGTCTGGCAAATTGATGCCTTCCAATTTGTTCTTTTTCTATTTGGGGTCTTGTCTGGTTCCATATGAAGCATAGAATTATTTTTTCTAGATCTGTGAAAAATGATATTGGTCTTTTAATAGGGATTGCATTGAATTTGTAGATCACTTTGGGTCATATAGACATTTTAATAATGTTGATTCTGCCTACCCATGAGCATGGTATGGTCTTCCACCTGTTTACGTCCTCTGCTATTTCCTTCTTCAGTGTTTCATAGTTCTCCCTGCAGAGGTCTTTTATGTCCTTAGTTAAATATATTCCTAGGTATTTTATTTTCTTTGTTGCTATTGTGAAGGGTATTGAGTCTTTGATTTGGTTCTCAGTTTGACTGTTGTTGGCATATAGGAATGCTACTGATTCATGTACATTGATTTTGTAACCTAAGACTTTGCTGAATTTGTTTATCAATTCCAGTTGTCTCATGGAAGAATCTTTGGTGTTTTCTAGATATAAGATCATATCATCATCAAGGAGTTATAGTTTGACCTCTTCTACCTCCATTTGAATGTCCTTGATTTCTTTCTCTTGTTTGATTGCTCTAGCTAGGACTGCCAGCACTATGTTGAATAGAAGCGGTGATAAAGGGCAACCTTGTCTGGTTCCAGTTCTAAGTGGGAATGTTTTCAATTTTTTCCCATTCACTATGATGTTGCTGTGGGTTCGTCATACATGGCTTGTATCATTTTT